AGAATAAAGTTAATAAAGTTAAGTTATTACATGTCCCTCATCACTTGAAAGGCAGATCAAGGAATAAAAAGTAGACTTGTGCTGGATCTAGTTACTTTCCTTTAGGAGAGGAAAGCGGGATAATGATGATGATGATGATCAATAGAATCCTAGTGTTGGAAGAGACCTCATGGGCCATCCAGTCCAACCCCCTGCCAAGAAACAGGAAAATTGTATTAAAAGTACCCCTGACAGATGGCCATTCAGCCTCTATTTAAAAGCCTCCAAAGAAGGAGCCTCCACCACACTTTGGGGCAGAGAGTTCCACATGATGATAATGATGACAACGACGACAACAACAACAATCCAAGTATGTGGTACTCAGTTGTACAGGAGGCTATGTTCTCTACTTTCTTTCTGTTGGGAGGAAAGTTCCATTTTATTGATATCACTATCCATTCATTGGCAGCATTGGAAAAAGGCAATACTTGAAATGAGATTAAAAAAATTAGCTAGTTGCTGCTAAACAATTAGGATTGGAGGTCATATAACATTAAATAGTTAGTATGCAAGCCTGTTTGTTTACCAGTAACCAGCTAAATTTTGGTTTTATCTCAAATGCTGCTTTTTCAATGCTACCCATGAATGATTAAGGATATGTTACCAGTGAATGAATGCAGACATTTTGAAATTACTTGCAGTTCTGTTAGACTGGTGTTTTATGATATGTCTCTACAACTCAGGACCTTAGCTATAATTTCAGTCACTGGGGAACTTCTCTGAGTGAGTCCCATGACTGGATAAATATTCAACTAGACTGCGTGAATGTCCTTCTGCTTTGGGGATTGCAGTAATTTTGGGGGACTAGCAATGGGTAGGTACATATTGTGAATGTATTGCTATCTGCCACTGGTAGGCAGAGAAACTATAATAATTCTTCTTGAGCACTATTATTTCTTTCATGTTTCAGTGTTGGCCAGTTTCAAAATCTGAGCAGTTGTTGATTACGAGCTTCCTCCAATGGGATTTTCTCTTTGTGATCGATCTATCAGGACAAATGGGAACTGAACAAAGAGGTGGTTCTGCTCTTGCATCACTCCAATTACTTTCCTTTCAGAGGCTGGTCAGGACAATTTCCTAGCAGATTGTCTCTGCACAGCTAGACAGATCTGCGTTATGTTGAACATTTGAGCCTGTGAGACATAAATCGTAATTAAGGGCTGGAAAGGAAAGTTGTCTGTTTACAGAAAAAAACACTGATGTACAATGCATAGCAATTTAACATACAAAACCATAATAAAAAGTTTGCATTCTGCAATGTTATTGACAAATTATGGTAACAATGTTACTGCATAGAATGATATACCTATGATTTTTTTTCTGTATTGCAGTCCCTTTTATTGTTGTGTGCCTTTTAGTTGAACTGATGTTAAACTGCAGCAATATATTTCTTTTCTTTTATGCACCCAACCTCAACATGAGAACATTCAATTAACTTTCCATGGATTTATCTGACACAAGTAAGGAGAGCCTCCAGTATTTGAAATATATGACCTGGCCATTAAATGGTAAAAATAAGTAATGCTTTAATGACTGATTTGTAATTATTTTTAAATGAAAGGTTGCTTGTCAATAGTCTTTAAAGCCCTGTGGGGCATAAGTAGCATATAATCTTGTTAAGCACTCAAATCAAGCCCTACTTTGCTTAAGTAATGCCCTTTCTGTTGTATTCTAAATAATGTCTTGTGTCAATATCCAATTCTCATTAGTAAATGATGCTTTGGCTTTTTTTATTTTAAAAAAAGGAAGAAAATGAATACAAGGGCCAGAAAATGAATTCAAGGGCCCAGAAAAGAAAGTAATTATTTGTGAATTATCTATCTATATTCCACAAACAACACAGTTATGCAGGAGAAACTGGCAGCGTTGTCTTTCCACTGTAGATTAGGGTGGTGTCAGATTGGGTTTGTAGCTGCAGATGAAGGGTAATTTCTTTTGGCAGTCCGAGCCGTCCCAGTTACCCTGGCCTAGATGGAAAACAAATAAATGTGAGCACAAAATAAATTCTAAAAATGATTCACATCTGAGAGTTTTGCAGCACCTTAAAATACTAGATTTATTATGAGGTAAGATATAGAGCCACCAAAATATATCACACAGTGCATTTGTGATGGTGTTGTATGAATACACCGAGAGATAAGGACATGCATTTCTTTTCTGCAGCGGCATGAGCTTGGCTTCTTTCACCAACCCTTTTCTGCTTCTCAGCCCTCTTCTACACTGCCCCATATTCCAGGATATGATCCCAGATTATTTTCTTATTCCAGATTATAAGGCTTTGGAGATTCAGGGCGCTTTTAGACAACACCAAATAGCGGGTTTTAGTCAGGGGCAAAAAAAACCCAGAACCTGAAAAGAGGTCAACATAGAGACCTGTTGTTCCCAGGATTTCTGCCTCTGTTGTCCACACTTGCTGCTTTGTCCTTGGATTTTGCAGCCCTCAAGATGGCTGCCATGTTACATCCTCCAGAAATTTCATAAAATCATAGAATCATAGAGTTGGAAGAGACCTTATAGGCCATCCAGTCCAACCCCCTGCCAAGAACCAGGAAAATTGCATTCAAAGCATCCCCGAGAGATGGCCATCCAGCCTCTGTTTAAAAGCCTCCAAAGAAGGAGCTTCTACCACACTCCGGGGCAGAGAGTTCCACTGCTGAACAGCTCTCACAGTCAGGAAGTTTTTCCTAATGTTCAGATTGAATCTCCTTTCTTGTAGTTTGAAGCCGTTGTTCCGCATCCTAGTCTCTAGGGAAGCAGAAAACAAGTTCGCTCTCTCCTCCCTCCTCCTGGATTTTATATGGCAGTGTAGAAGGGGCCTAAATCTATGAACTTTGACCATGCTCAGAATGCTTCATCTTTATTCTTTAATGCCGACTCTTAAACGGGCTACTCCTTGAGAACTTGTGTGCTGTTTCTAGAGGACCTAAAACAAACTGAGGCCCGATCTACACTGCCACATAAAATCCAGATTATCTGCTTTGTGCTAGATTGTATGGCAGTACAGACTCATATAGTCCAGTTCAAAGCAGATCATATGGACCATCTGCTTTGATAAGCTAGATTTCATGATAGATCTATTCTCAGTGCATAGGGATGACTACAATCAAGCCCTTTAAAATTCGCAGCACTGTATTCCGATACAAGCCTGTAGAAGCAAAGTTTTGCATTAGGGTTTTGATCAAGATTTTACATAAGCATCAAAGCAATTTGAGAATTCTTCCTTAGACTAAAAAAAAAAAAATAGAGTGATGAAAGGGAAGCCAAAATAGCTTTGAGAAACCTTGCATAATTTCTCAGGGCACTGATGCCAGCAAAATATCTGAAGTGGAATTCAGGGTGAATGTAGTCATTCGTCTTAAAAATCGGGCTTCTAAGGAAGCTGAAGCAATTTGGAAGGCAATTATCACAACATTTCTTAGAAGTTTCCTCACGTCCATTGTTCCAGTCCTCTGGCGATACAGCCAAGAGCAGCAATTTCTTCCAATTGTTTTCCTTATATACCAGTGCTATGGAAGATACATCGAATGATACTTTGCCCAATTAGGCATGCTACTATGGTGCATATGGCTGTGTTTTAAAGTATTGTGTAATTTGAAATAAAATGAAACATTGCACGAATCAGCTCTAAACGTTCCGGTTGTCCACCATTTTACAGTCCAACCTCAGGAATGCGATTACACTGACAATATCCTAAAATTGATATTTACACTCTTCCATGTTCTAAATGTATTACAACAAATTGTTAAGGATCACTTTAACCAAACCTGTCATATATGATGTTCTGTAGTTGATGGTGGTTGATGGTGGCAGGCCTAGCAGTTGGTGATGGAAGGGTTAATGTAAGTCTTAGTTCTAAAGGGTTGAGTAATTTCTATGTAAGAGCTTATGGGTGAAAGCAATTAAGGGTGGAGATATGCAAGATATAGGTTGCAGCTGGGTGTTTCTGGATATAAGGAGCTCGCCTTGGGACTGATTTTGGGGAAAAAAGTAATTGCCTTATTTTAGTGGTAGATGCTGCTGGTTTCCCCCCAGGTTTGTGGATTTTCGGTATCCTGACCTGTCTCTTGAACGTTTGGAACCCTGGAACCTTGAATCTTTGGTCTGGCTTTTGACTACGGTATAGGCCAGGGGTCCTCAAACTATGGCCCGTGGGTCTGACCTGGCCCCCAAGGGCATTTATCCGGCCCGCAGGGTATGGCAAAGTGTGAGAGGCGGCGGGCGAAGCGGCTTCAGGGCTGCTTCACCCGCTGCCTCCCTGGGCCCAGCCTGCTCTTCTCCTGCCTTCGGGATGAGGCCTCTTCCTCCAAAGAGAAGAGGGGGAGGCGGTGGGCGAAGCAGCTTTGGGGCCGCTTCACCCGCCGCCTCCCCAAGTATATATTTTAAGTGTGGGGGTTTTTTTGCACTGCAAATAAGATATGTGCAGTGTGCATAGGAATTCATTCATTTTTAAAAATTATAATCCAGCCCTCCAACAGTTTGAGGGATTGTGACCTGGCCCTCTGTTTTAAAAGTTTGAGGACCCCTGGTATAGACTCTTGATCCCTGGACTTTGCTCATTGAACTCTCGGCGTTTGACCACTGGGCTGGACCTACTGTGTTATCTTGAACCTGCAACAGTGTTTGCTGTCAGTTTTGTTTTCTGTGGCTGAGTGCTATCTTTATGTTTTATGTTTTGGACTATTAAAACAGCCAGAAAGTAAGTGCTGCTTTAATTAAATTGTTTAACACAAGCTGGGAGTTTGTTTGGTTCATCTCTACCTGAATAATGCAGAGCCCTAGCATCGTGACAAAACCATTTGTTATTTGGAAAGTTCCTGAGATCAACAATAACTTTTACTAACTAGGACTTTAAAATTTGTTGTTGTTGATGGTGAACCTAGCTTTTAAAGTTAGTTGTAAATTAATCAAGCTTGGTTTCTGTGAGTCTTCTGGGCTGTATGGTCATGTTCCAGAAGCATTCTCTCCTGAAGGCATCCTCAGAGGTTGTGAGGTCTGCCATAGATGTGGGTGAAACTTCAGGAGAGAATGCTTCTGGAACATGGCCATACAGCCCAGAGAACTCACAGCAACCCAGTGATTCTGGCCATGAAAGCCTTTGACAACAAATTAATCAGATGTTTGTTTAGGATACATAATTATATTTATGAACAGCACTGTACCTCCTATATTGATATTTAACTTCAAGCAAATGCGAATACTCAGAATGCTGTTAATTGTTTCCCCAACCACATGAAGAAGTGAGCTCAGCGGACGTTGAATGAAATTTGCCAGAGAGCCATCCGTCCATTTTAGGGAAGATCCCTGCAGAAAAATAAAAGAGGAATGTAAGGAACACCAGTGTACAGCTGGTCAACTATTCAGACATTTTCATATTGCAAAGGATCAAACGTTAAATGAGCAAAGGGATATTTCACAGCAGTGTGCGCAGAAGCCTACTGCCTGCAGTTAGGTTTCTGTACTTTAGAGTGGCATGAATAATATGTGGCGCATAATTTATTAGAAAAATGAGATTGTCTGCAAACAGATTGAGGGTCTCTGGAATATGTTACTCAGCACTGTTCTGCAGGCATACTTCATTCCTAGGCTCTAAACGAGCCTTTTAATTAGATGTAGGCTAAAGCTTTATTCTATTACTAAGTGTGCCAGACAGCTTCTCCTTCAAATATTAATGACAGCATCCATGTTTTTTCCCTGAGCATGCCACTTTTGTGGCTGAAAAAATGAATCACTAACATGAGAGAACAAAGCAAAAGGGTTGGTTTGTACATTCACCCAGCCAGGAATGCATTATGCATGATGGAGGAGTGGACACATCCACTCCCTGCGCAAGAAAATGTATAATATTGACACCATCTCCATAAAGCCGAAGGCATACTGGCCCAGTTTACATAACAAAAGCTCTTTTTAAGGGGAAAAGGCGTTGGGTGCATCCAGACAGGGTACAAAACATGCGCCCTTCTGGATATTCATGGGGTGGTGGTGGTGGTTTAAAACGACACCCACAACATTGTGAATATTTTCAGCACAAAGCAGGAAAACTCTGCTTTGTGCTGAGATAATTTGTTAGTGGGTCTGTTCTATACCTTCTTGAAAGTTATTTACTTCTGAAGGAGCAGTCGAGGCAGCAGTCTCACATTTTTCCGGGCTAAATCAGCCTGGAAAACCGTTAGGGAACAACCCCCTCACCAAAGCACCAGGAAATGGCTAGCAGCAGGGAAATGCTGGCTCTGTAAGTTTTTTTTTCCAAAGGGTCTGGGTGGGAGCTGTCTCCCTGTAGACAATATCCATGAAAAACATGGACTTTGGGGGCTGGTATGTGGACTATAGTGAACCCGACCCGGGTTTTTTAAACCTGGGCCAGCATGGACTTTTCTACTGTCTGGAACCGTCTGTTGCCCATGAAACAGACAGTGGTGCTCTGCTTGGGCTGAAATCCCTGTGGCCCTGTCTACACTGCCATATAAAATCCAGATTACCTGCTTTGAACAGGATTATATGGCAGTGTAGATTCAGGCCCCTTCTACACTGCCCAATATCCCAGGATCCGATCCCAAATTATCTGTTTTGAACTGGATTATATGAGTCTTCACTGCCATATAATCTAGTTCAAAGCAGATAATCTGGATTTTATATGGCAGTGTAGAAGGGGCCTAATATAACCCAGTTCAAAGCAGATAATGTGGATTATCTGCTTTGATAATCTGGATTATAGGGCAGTGTAGATCCAGCCTGAGTTTGCAATAGGGATACTTGTGGGTTAAAGTTTTGCCTTTGTTGATCTCTGGAAAGTATATAAGCAAAACACACAGACTTCTACTCAAAGGTAAATCCATTGAGTTCATGGAGTTAATTATTGTTAGTATATATTTGTTTAATGGCCTCATCATTTCTTAACAGGTAGTGAAACACCCCACTCCCCCCATTGAAAACGGAGCTCACAAGCACCAGTCTGTCTGTAGAAATGGACTCACTCTTCGTTGGCTTCCTCCTGTCCAGAACTGGGCAGTTCTTTGTCCATAATAAGTAGCCAGGTTTACAAGGAAAGCATTGTGCTCTGCACTTGAGATACTGGTCAGGTGTCCCCCTTTGGCTTGATTTTGGCAGGTCCACTGGAAAGAAAAAGAAAGTGGAGATGACAAGATATGCAAAGAAGATAGTAAAGAAATGGAATGATTCAGGGTGTCTGTCTGTCTGTGTATGGCTGTGCTAATAATGCAGAAGGTGATGTATACATCATTGAAATTTAGGAGCTGCGGTGGTGCAATGGGTTAAACCTTTGTGCCGGATGAACTGCTGACCTGAAGGTCAAATCCCCAAGATGCGGTGAGCTCCCATCTGTCAGCCCCAGCTTCCCATGCGGGGACATAAGAAAAGCCTCCCACAGGAAGATAACACATCCTGGCGTCCCCTGGGTAACATCTCTGCAGACGGCCAATTCTCTCACACCAGAAGTGACTTGCAGTTTCTCAAGTTGCTTTTGGCATGTTAGAAAAATTAGGTTTCATTATTTCTCATGGATCTCATGTAATTTACATTTCTTTGCCCCTCCTCCAAATATTTATGATTGTTTAAAATCTGTAATACTTTGCAAGGATTTTTTTTCCAGAAAAAGCTTTCTGTAATCCTTTGGGCCATCTCATGTTTTAGGACCAAATGAAATAAAATAGATTTCATTAGCTGCTCTGAAAAATTTGGCAGAGGAATTTGTCTAGATTTGTGCTCAGCTGTGAGGAAAAAAAAGTGATACAAGGAAATACATTTTTCCAAATGTGTAGTCAATGCAGCTGATGTTTTTTTGTCATGTCAGGGGTGACCTGAGAAACTACACGTTGCTTCTGGTGTGAGAGAATTGGCAGTCTGCAAGGACATTGCCCACGGGATGCTCAGATGATTGATGTTTTGATGTTTTATCATCCTTGTGGGAGGCTTCTCTCATGTCCCCACATGAGGAGCTGAAGCTGATAGAGGGAGCTCATCCACCTCTCCCTGGATTTGAACCTGCGACCTGTCGGTCTTCAGTCCTGCTGCACAGGGATTTAACCCACTGCACCACTGATGAAACACTGTTTCAGAAAACATTGCCATTGTAGCTCAGGCACTATATAACAGAATTAGAGTGGGCCTTTTAGTTTCCAAAGCCTGTCATTTTATTGAATACATAATTGCCAAATGACAGAACCTTGGAGCTGTGAATCAGAGGAATACAAACTCTATCTTGCAAGGACAATTTGACAGACATAGGACATTACCATGCTGGGTATTGTCTCAACCTTATCGCATGATGCCATTGCTCTCCTGGCATTGTTGCACTACAGCATAGTTAAAATGTAGTTTTTAACTCTTGAAATTGTCCATTAATAACCACCTTTCCCACAGCAATTCAGTAGCCACATTTTGTGCTTTATTTCTTTCACAAATGATTCATTAGTGTGTACGAGGTGCGTGCTGCCAGGTTATCCCTCCCTCAAAGATTCCCAAGTACGTCAATCCCTGGTAGAGAAACCCCAGACCATTTCTAGTGTTCACGCAGGAAATATGACTTTTCCTAGATGTTTAAATCCATCTTAACCTTCTTGGCTGGTTTCCCCCACGTGTTATACCATTATAATGTAATACAATCACTCCATTATAATCGGTTTCATTGAGAAACAACATTATAAGAAAGGCAAAACTAGTACTGTCAGAAATATGGCAGTCTCATTTCTCTCTGCAGGAAAACGGAATACAATGCCAAAAAATGGTGTGGCCACTTTATTTTCTTGTCTTGTTTCTCTATGAAAACAAATCTTCCAGGAAGAGATCTCAGCGCTCACAGAGAGCTTTGGAGTGCATGGTTGTATTGTCATGATGTCATCATAGTATTACCTTGCTATTATGGCTGGTTTTTAATTAAATTAGATGAACCAATCAAGAAGGGAGGACCAAGGTACAGGAAACAGTAATGATGCCAGTAATGTAGATGAAAAAATTGCAAATGGCACTGTAATGCTATAAAGCTAGACTGAAAGAATGAAATAGTGGCAGCAATCAGCTATCTTCACAAGACAGACTTGAGTAGACTTCAAACAGAACAGCATAACATAATGGCATAGTGTGAAAAAGATCTCAGTGCAGCACTCTTATACTAGCATTTTTAAGAAACATGAAGGAAGTATATCTAAACTCAGAGGTAAATGTATTACAAAGCTGGGGCCCTTTCAGGGTGTATATAGCACTATATTCCATTTTAACTGCCATGGCAACATCCCATAGAATCCTAGGATCTGCGTTTTCGGGATCAGCATTTAGAGCTCTAGTACTTCAACAAACAATAAGCCTCAGGATTTCATAGGATGCAACCTATAGGATACAGTTAAAACAGCATATATCACTATAATTGTATAGTACAAATGGGATAACTGATTTGTTGCAATCCTGTTCTGTTTATGATTGTCAGAAATCTGGCAGTCTAATTTCTCTCTGCAGTGGAAAGGAATAAAATGGCAAGAAATGGTTTGGCCATTTTATTTAGATTAAGATTTTCTGGGGAAGCCCTGCTCTCGGTCTCGCTAGCCCCACAAGCGCGGCTGGAGGGGATGAGAGACAGGGTCTTCTCAGTGGTGGCCCCTCGGTTGTCAAACTCCCTCCCTAGTGACATTAGAACAGCTCCCTCCCTATTAGCCTTTAAGGAAAGAGTCAAAGAGTCAAAAGCTGGCTCTGTGAGCAGGCCTTTGGAAACTAAGGCAATGCAGGAAACCTTAAATCGAAACCTTGTGCAATTGACCTTGGAATGGACTTAAACCATGAACTTGGATGGCATGTTTTCTAAGTTTTTAACTTTTAAAAATCTGTTTTAACTTTATTTAATATGTTGCATTTTTAAAAATGTTTAGGTGATTGTGTTGAGGCACGACGTTGTGCCATTGTAAGCTGCCTTGAGTCTGCCTGTCGAGGTAGAGAAAGGCAGGGTACAAGTATGGCAAATCAATAAGTAAATTGTGATTTTTTTTGGGCAATTTTACACAGAAAGAAAATCTAGGTAAGGAATAAAGGAATGATGAGAGTGGCTCAAGAAAGAAAATGTTTCTGATCAATACCTCGGCTTGCTCCCATGTCATCTGATTTGGAACAAAGACGTAGCACTGGCCCATGTAACTTATCCAGCCATCACGGCAACCACCTTGGCAAAAGTATTCTGGGCCTATCAGGGAGGAGCCAGGTAAAACTGGGGGCTTGATATTCACAGGAGCAGTAGGGGGATTATTTCCACCAAAAATGTTTCCCAACAAGAACCGGCGGTCACGATCCTTGGTTTCTGGAAGCTCATTGCCTAAAAACAAATGAACAGAATAATGAAGTTCCAGTGGAATAAACCCCAAATCAAATATTCATACATCCTTTGTAGAAAATACAAGCATTCTGTATAGAAGGGGAATGTAATGAAAAGTTGATCACCAGAGTGGTTGCATTCCTAAGAACTACAAGAGAGTCCTCAGGTGATTAATGCATATACTCTTGTTGCTATCACATAAGACTCCATTCTTGACTCCTAGGGTTGCCAGTTGAAGACAATTCCAGGCCCTGGGATTGTCTATGGGTATCAGGCCACTCCAAAGCCTGATACCTATAGACCAGGGGTCCTCAGGGGTCCTCAAACTTTTTAAACAGAGGGCAAGGTCACAGTCCCTCAAACTGTTGGAGGGCCGGATTATAATTTGAAAAAAAACATGAATGAATTCCTATGCACACTGCACATATCTTATTTGTAGTGCAAAAAAACACTTTAAAACAATACAATAATTAAAATGAAGAACAATTTTAACAAATATAAAATTATTAGTATTTCAATGGGAAGTGTGGGCCTGCTTTTGGCTGATGAGATAGGATTGTTGTTGTTGTGTGCTTTCAAGTCGTTTCAGACTTAGGTTGACCCTGAGTGAGGGCCGGGTAAATGACCTTTGAGGGCCGCATTCGGCCCCCGGGCCATAGTTTGAGGACCCCTGCTATAGACAATCCTTGTTGATGTCATTAAGCATTGTATATTAGGTACCAACTAAACATCCTGTCATTAAATCACTTCATCAGATTCATGGCGCTGATGAAGTGCAATTATGACAGGACAAAATCTCCTTTTGATGAGGCTTATGACTCTCCCAAAGTTGGAATATACTTGAATTGTGATTGGAGTTTTTCTTTTCATTGATGGCAAAAACCCTTCAATGAATATAATATCACTGTTCTTCCACAATTCTTCCATGTGTAATGATTTCTTTCTGTTGCAGTTTTGCTATTGAGAATACTAGGGTTCGGCATCTAATTGTTGACAGTCTGTACACTGCCCTGAGTCACCTTCGGGCTGAAAAAGGTGGGTAAAAGTGTGGTAAATAAATAAATAAATAAATAATAGGGGAAAGCCAAGGAAGTGCATGTGCTGAGTAAACATGGAATATCATCACATGGGGGGGGGGGGAGCAGGGAAAAGCAGAGGGAACCGCCTTCTTTTTTACCCATGGTCGAGGTCTCATATCTTTCTGTCTTCTGTGATGGCAACGGTCAGTGGCTATCATAATTCCTTTTCACCTTTMCCTGCTAATACCCATCTTCTCTTGTTGGGAGTCGGGTAAGACCTGACCCCTGAAAATGCAGTCTTCTCTCCATTTCTCTGCACTGCTGCAACAGAGTCCCATGGGCAACCACTGGATGTGGCCTTCTGTCGTGTGATGGACACTGTTTCGGCAGTGCAGATGAGGTCCATGGTTAGGAAGGGACACTGTATTTCAACCACAAAAATACAATGAAAATTGTAAACTACACTAATTTGAAAGTAAGTGTTTCCAGGAGTGTCTCCAAAAGTTAAACCCCAAACATCACATCTTGAATTATGGAGATCTTTCTGTTTGGACCGACATTATAAAAGTGATGAGATGGTCATCCTTCAATTGTTTATTAATTATAACAACCCAATTATCATGGTATCTGTGATGTACTGCCTAATAATTATACTAATGATACAAAGGCATGGATGTGTGAGCCCCTCCTTCCCTAGATTCATAATACAGATCTAAAGAAGAAGAATTCCAATTAACGTATATTGTGGTGAATCAGAAATTCTCTTAGAAGCTGCTGACATGCGGTTAATACATGGCCTAGCCCAGTAACTATCTCATTATAACAACTTATCAAAATGAAATATAGAAAATTCTTATACCCAGCTACCTTTTCTGTTAGCCCCTTCCACACATCTGAATAAAATCCCACATTTTCTGCTTTGAACTGGGATATATGGCAGATGGATAACCCAGTTCAAAGCAGATATTGTGGGATTTAATGCCTTGATATTCAGGGATATAGGGCTGTGTGGAAGGACCCTCAGATAACCCAGTTCAAAACAGATATTGTAGGATTCCTTGCCTTGATATTCTGGGATATAGGGCTGTGTGGAAGGGCTCTGAGTGTTATGAATGTGGCAATGCCACTTGAGGGCCCTTCCACACAGTCCTATATTCCAGAATATCAAGGCAGAAAATCCCACAATATCTGCTTTGAACTGAGTTATCTGGATCCACACTCAGATAATGTGGGATTTCTTGCCTTGATATTCTGGGATATAGAGCTGTGTGGAAGGACCCTGAGTCCATGCTCAGGTAATGTGGGATTTACTGCCATGATATGCTGAGGTATATGTGTGGAAGGGCCCCTAAATTATCAGGGGGCCCTTCTATACTGCCATATAATCCAAATTATCAAATCGGATAATCCACAATATCTGCTTTGAACTGGATTATATGAGTCTATACTGTCATATAATCCAGTTTAAAGCAGATAATCTGGATTGTATGTGTCACTTTAGAAGAAGCCAGGGAGAACACCGATCTACCAGAATCTTATAATAGGCAATGATGGAACTTAATTTAAAAAGATGGAACTGTCAAGATACATTTTCCATAAGATCATTTCTCACCTTCAAAAACAGGGAGAGCCAGTACTTCCAGGGACAGCAACATAATTATATGTGACTTCATTTTTTGGTAGAACTTTCACCTAAAACCAAGCAGAGAGCATTGATGTCAGCAACTGTGCTCAAATATTAAATTGGAGTTAATATCTGCTATCATTTTAACAAGTACTTTAAAATTAATTTGCACCATTAGATATTTTTAAATTAATTTAATCAATTAATTTGGTTGTTACATAATACAACAGCGAACACATTAGCATGAGCATGAATATTAATAAAAGATTTTTTTGCCACTTCAGGCAAATATAAAACACTGATTCACTCAACCATTTGCAATGGTTTAGTTTTCTAGGAGGCCTATAGTTCGGCCATCTTCTGAAACAGTGTGTACAGTTCTGTTTATTCTGTTGGCCAGCAGCTCTCCAAGGCCAAAGGGAGACGTTGTTTCTCATCAGAAATAATGTCTATATGAAAAGCATGTCACAGACCAATGATCCTCTCTTAACAGATTGTCAGGTGTGCACTGCATTAGAATAGATCTGAGTAAATTTACTCCTCATACTTAGGGTATCTCCCAAATATGCAGAAAGCACTCTGCTATGCGTGTGTGTTTATGCATAATGCTCTTTTGCATTACCAGACCACTTACAGCTTTCAAAGTCTAAAGCAAAGCTTTGAACTGGGTTTAAAATATAATTATATGTGAATATCGTAAACTAGGTATAATATGGGCATGCCTCCCTCTGGCTACCAGTAAATTTGCTTATTCATAAGACCAAGTTATGAACCATATTCCAGAACAGACCCACACTGACGGATAATAAATAAGGCATAAAAAGCAGTGGCCATATCTCAGTATTCACTACTGAATATAATAGAAAGCCAATCCTAAAGTATGGGTGCACTAACTGATAACAAAACAAGGCACAGAAGTTTACTGGGCATGCAAACTTTTTACATTATAGAGTAAAACTTGTACTGATTGCTGAATATTTGCACACTATACCTTTACCATACTTCTACTATACTTCAGACCATACCATGTCACATCACTTGTTTATCCTATCACATTGCACTAATAATAATAATACCAAATCCCTCTTTGGTATTCAAGAATTTGCATATGAACAATAGGTGTGCATATGTTTGCTGAATTTCAGTAATGACTAGTATATTCTAAATTCTGAAAAATGTAAGGGTCTTAGGTACCACTCTGGTTGGAAGGTAACAACGCTCCATGCAGTCATGCTGGCCACATGACCTTGGAGGTGTCTACGGACAACGCCGGCTCTTCAGCTTAGAAATGGAGATGAGCACCCAGGGTCGGACACAACTGGATTTAATGTCAGGGAAACCCTTTACCTAGAATTGAGCAGCATTGGGCAATCACCTCAAATATCATTGAGATATCTGAAGTGGAAAGTAAGGATATAAGAGGCAAAACATTAAATGAAAAATCTATTTGAATAAATACCTCTTCTGTAGCTCCTTTTGTTTCCTGTTTCCTTTTTCGTTTTCACATTGGCAACAGGCAGCAACAGCTTTGGTTAGTATTTTATGATCTTTCTTTTAGTGACTGGAGCTTTCCTCTGTCCCTAACAAAGCATGTCTCCATTTTTATATAAGCTCTGCTTCTTAAACAAAGGAGGGTGGGTGTTTTTGACACCATTGTTGATTTTGCTGTCGATCCTTAAAACCTTTTGCAAACATTCATGTAAAATGACTGAGCTACAGAGAGCAGGAACATGATGGACCTACCCAAATGAAAGCCCAGAGTGTGTTGGGTCATTTGGATAGTTTTTATATTATCTATTTATGTCATAAAAGGGAGAGAGGTATTATTTTCGAATCCTATCCCTCAGGGGCCATCTACACTGCCAGAGAACTCAGTGTAGAGGGCGCATTATGTTGTTCATCCAAACAACATACCTGGTGAATGCATTTTTAAACCAGAATAAACCTGCTAATCCAGGTTTATCCCAGGTTAAAATATACCTGCAGAGATCCGGATCTTACAGGAAAATTTTCATTCTCGGTTTATGATGCCCAGGAATAAAATAGCAGACAGTCTTGCTACTTCACAAGTCTGTCTTTCCCAATTCAGAAGCAGTTTCATTATTTTATAGTAAAGAGGCATAAAGGATCCTTACATTTTAGCTACCTCTTATCCACTGGAGATGTTTAAATGGAAGCTGGATCTATACTGCCATGTAATCCAGTATCTGATCCCAGATTATCTGCATTGAAATGGATTATATGAGTCTACACTGCCATGTAATCCAATTCAAAGCAGATAATCTGTGATCGGAAACTGGATTATAAAGCAGTGTAAATGGATCCGGAGACCTTTTTGGTTGATACTGAAGCTGGATCTACACTGCTATATAATACAGATAATCAAATCAGATAATCCACATTATCTGCTCTGAACCAGATTATATGAGTCTACACTGCCATATAATTCAGACTGGATCTACACTGCCTTATATCCCAGCATCTGATCCCAGATTTTCTTCTTCTAGCAGTGTAGACTCAAAGCATATTTTCTGAGATCAGATAACTAGGGAATATGGCAGTGTAGATCCAGTCTCAGTACACAGTAGATAATCTGGATTTTATATGGCAGTATAGATCCATCCTGAGGGTATATGTTTGGCATCACAGTCAATAAAGTCAGTTACGGGATGTGCTTACTGAGGTTGGATACACACTGCCCACATCTCAAGGTATGATCCCAGATTTTCTGTTTATCCCAGATTATCTGGCAGTGCAGACTCATATAATCCAGACAGTTCAAAGCAGATAATCTGGGATCAGATCCCAGGATATAGTACAGTGTAATTTTTTTAATTACTCACACAATTAAATGTTTCCCCATAAAGGAGAAATAAAAGGCCTTATGCACAGACAACTTCCATATTAAAGAGAAGGTTAGGCAAGTTCTTCCTAATATGCTGGTTTCTTCATATAGCATATTTTCTTATATGAGAAACATTAAATCACATGAATTACCACCTGCAGTTGAGAGATATAATGTTTGCCTCTGTACGAAATATTGCTAAATGAGAGAGAAAGGAGATCAGGTCTGTATTTACTCTTGCCTTCTGAAACATCTTTCATTTCAGGATATTAAAGAATGGTGAAAAGTGATCAGTTCAAGCTCCATTAAGCACACACAATCTCTTCTTTTTTACACTCCTTTGCTAAACCCACTTTGGTTACGGTCATCAAATACTCTTGGGTGGCATCCATTGCACACATGAATCACATCACACCTTTCCCACATGCTTGGAGAAAAGGTGAGACAAAAAAAATGAAGTGATTGATTGACCAAATATATGCTTAAGCTGGCACTTTTTTTTGGATGAGCCAAATATTTATCAAGGAGGAAGGAAATCTTTATTGCTCGCGCAAACATGATTTGTGTGTGTATGTGTTCAAGTTGCCTCCCACTATATTAAAGAACCCAAATCTTAAAACAATAATGACACAGATTCTAAAGTATTTCAAGTGATCAGGTGCAATTAAAACCTTGTGATGGTAATGGCTTTTGTGTGGTGTTTTCCTCTGCAAAACACCAAAATGTTTGGAACATGTTTGTTTGCCTTGACATAAGGTGTAAGCTCACAGCAGCCGCTCCCAATAACGACACAGG